GGCCCTGCCCTTCCCTGCCCTCCAGATCTGTGGCCTCAGCTCCCAGTCCTGTGCGGGAGCCAGCAGAAACCCTCCTGAGGCCAGAGACATGGACATAAGAGAACTGGGGGTGAGCATGTGTGCCCCAACCTGCCCTGACCATTTCTTGCACTGCTCAGGGGCCGAGCCCCAGCCCCAGCCATGGGGGCACAGACAGGGACACCGGAAGTGTCGTTTGAAATGGGGGACGCTCACTTTTTAGAACAGAAGACTCAGCAGTTGTCCCTAATGAAGCCACAAGCCATGGAGTCCCAGAGCTGGACTCAGCCTAAGGGACATCACTCTGCCCCTCCTCTGCTCAGTGGATGAACGGTGGCTGCCCTCAGTGTTCTTCTGTGTTCCTGCTGTGTTGTCAGTAACATGTGACGTGGAGGTGAAGGTGGAGGGTATAGGTTGGGAGGTACCACCTGCGTTTCACCCCGGTTCTGCCACGATTTGCTGTGTGACCCAGGACAAGTTGCTTCCCTCTCTGACTGGTTTCTTTGTTTTGAGTGAGGGTTACACAGGGGCAGTGCAGAGCACCTTCCTGTCCTGACCCTCGCAGAGAGTAATTCCCACCTCCACATCTCACCGGGCGAGTTGTCCTGCAGGGCTGGTGCCCCTGGCTCCTGGATGCTGGGGCTCAAAGAGGTCACACAGATGTTAGGTGACAGACTTCAGATTCCAACGTAGGCCAGTCTGACCCCAAATCCGTGCACTTTTTAAACTTATACTGTATCTTCTCCCTCAGCCACATAATGAATCCTGACACATTTACTGAGCACCCACTCTGCAGCAGGCTTTCTTCTAACCACTGTATATATTTTATCTTATCTGATCCTCAATTTACTTTTTCTCTTTTGGTGGTAGTGGTGGTGGAACCCACGGCCTTGTACATGCCAGACAAGTGCTCTACCCCCAAGCCACAGCCACAGCCCTTTTTAGTTTGAGACAGGGTCTTGAAAAGGTACCCAGGCTGGCCTCGAACTTGTGATCCTCCTGCCTAAGCATCCCAAGTAGCTGGAATGACAGTAATGCGCCACTGTGCCCAGCTTAAGAATGACTTTCTAACATAGCGCTATGATGTACCCTGTCTTATGGATGAAAAACTAAGGCTTGGGATGCCTAAGTAACTCCACCAAGGCCACGCAGTAGGGGACAGCAGAGCAGGATCTGAGTTCCTGGAGTGTGCCTTTATATGTTGCATAATTCCTACTACTCTGCATAGTTTGTTCTGCTCACACGGGCATGGCGGCTAGAGGATGAATTTCTCATCTGTAGGGCAGCATCTGGGAGGATCTTTTGCTGTAAAAATTAGGAAATTTGTCAGTGGTGGAGGGCAGGGGACAAGAAGCTGATCTTTGCTCTTAGGGCTAATCATTTATAGACCTCAGGTTGATGAAGAATGAAACAGGAAACGCACACGCGTTATATCCATAGCACCTAGCCGCAGTTCCCAGTCTGCATTCCTCCTGGCCGCGCCTGTCCTATTCCCCGATTCTAACTCGGGGGGCCCTCGGGAGATGCAGGGTGACATCTCGGACACCCTGCGGGGGATTTGATCCCTGCCCCACTGGTCTGGAGAGCTGAGGTTTGCAGCTGACCTCCTGAGAGTGGGCAGAGAGGAGAGAAAAATGCAGGAAGGAGTCTGCTCGTCTGGGTGATGGAGCACTCACTCCTCTCGCCGGCGTGTGGGGTTCAATAATGGCAGACAGGGCTTCAAAAAATTGCAGCATAAACAGATGAGCCCTTTAAGGTAATAGAAATGCTGTCATCCCGGGGAGAAATACGGGCCCCAGATCCCATGGGAGGGCACACACTGGGCCCTGCTCTCCTGCCCGCTGAGCTCCCTGTCCCCATTACAGCCAGGGTGGGAAAAATGGCCAGAGGGACCTGGCCTTTGGCAGCGGGGACTCCAGCAGCCGAGGTGGCTGAGAGGGAGCCGAGGACCAGGTCTGCAGCGCCCTGGCTGTGACCTCGAGGGCCTCTCACTGCAGGCACTGAGGCAGCAGCCATCAGTCCTGGAGCAGCACAGGAGGCTGGTGCCTCAGTGGGGCCTTAATTAAGGGAAGGAAGGGGGGTGGCAGAGGAGAATGGCGGGCGGAGAAATTGGAATTATCCCCCCTGTGGCCAGCAAGGCTATTCTCAGTTCTCATTCTCAGTTTTGTGCTGCTCTTGGAGCCTTGGAGACTGCAGCAGCCCAGGAGCTCCCACCAGGGTGAAGCTTCAGCTAACTCTTCCACCTTCCTCTGGCCCATTTTCACCTGTACCCCGCGACAGAGCCCACAGGCCAGGGCCAGTCACCTGTTCCAGTGGGACGCCCCTGGGAGTAACAACAACAGCAGTAGAAGCACCATGAACATTTTAAAAAATGGCATAAGGTGGATGTGGCAGCCCTGCCTGGGAGGCCGAGGCAGGAGGACTACAAGTTTCAGCACAGACCGCGCAACTTAGTGAGATCCTGTCTCAAATAAAAAATAAAAAAAAGGCTGGGGATGTAACTCAGCGCAAAGGCCATGGGTTCAATCCCCAATACTGAAGGAAACTAACAGCTAACACTTGTTGAATGATGATTAATATACTGGGCATTCTGAGTGCTTTGCATGTGCCAATTAATTCAATCATTCCAATCATCCTATCATTATTCCCCTTTCGAATGTAATAAAACAGGCACAGAGAGCTGCTTGCTCAAGGTCACACAAGTATAAAAGCAGCAAAGCTGTATTTCAACACAGGAAATCTAGCCGGAGTCTGCACAACCGTCCCACGGGACTGCAGAAGAGAGAAGCTCCTGCCATTGCCCAAGGAGCCCAGAGGGGGCGCTAGAGGACAGCTGCTCAGGTCTCCAGGGCAGCCATCCGCTTCTCAGGGGCCAACAGGTAGACTCAAGACCCAGCCCTGCAGGTAAGGACCCTGGGGAGACGCCTGGAATTTCCTTCCTATAAATGTCAGGCTGGAAACTTCTGCATTAAAGGCATTGCTCCTTCCAAGGTTTCGCTCACTTAAAAAAGAGTTCCCTGGGCAAACTGCTCCCGTGGTAGGCATGGTGGGGTGGTGGTCAGGAAGGAAGAGTTAGAGGGAAATGTGTCTTTATCCTCAGAGAAACACACACTAGTATGAGCCAGGCGCTGTGAGAACGGCGAGTGGGATGTTTAATTCATGGGGGAGTCTTGGGAGAAGTGGACGGACAGCTCCCCTTGGTTTCCTCAGCCTAATTCAGCCCTGCCTCTAGCCAGGGTGGGCGGGAGGAAAGTGCCTCCCCTCCCCACAGCAAGAAACCAGGACAGGAACGCCAGGACTCTGCTGGCCTGAGCCCCTCTGTCGTCGATCCCTCACCCTGGTGTTCGGTCCTCTCCAGGCCCTGGGTGCTAAGAGGGCATCCTGTAGGGAACGCGCCCTCCCACTTGAAGCCTGAAGCTGGCTCCAGGCCTCTGATCACTTGGCTATGTGAAATTTTTAATCCCAAACAACCACTGTCTCTTCCCTTATACCTCCAACTTAGGGAGCTTCCAAATTCCTGTGGAAGTTATGGACCCAAACTCACAGCAACACAGGTCCATTAGCGAGGATGCCTCGAGGAGAAACAGAGTTCATATCCACCCAGCTCGATCTGCGCTAGGAAGAAGGAAGAAGCTGCCGGGTAGTTTCATCCTGAGCGCTGCTCTCTGGGTGAGGTGGCCTGTCCTCCAAAGACCATGTCACCAGCCAAGCCCTCGCAGCATCTCACGACCAGGGCTGCCCTTCAGGTCGGTCGCTCGTCACCTCCCCAGCACCCTGGCCTTGGCCGGGCCACACCAGACCAAGGATGTCAGCACCACAGGAGACTCCAACTCAAAGCCTCTTCCTACTCAGTGAAGACCCCGGGCCAGCAGCATTGGCACCTGTGCCCCAGCTTGTCAGGAATGCACAGTCCCAGGCCCCAGACCTAGCTGATCAGAACCATCCATTTAACCAGGTCTGCAGCTAAAGTCAACTCCACACATCCCTTCTCTCTACCTGGACATAAGCTTATAAGACAGGTGTCCCATTTCACAGGTGAAGAAATGGACCAAGCTCACGCTCGGAAAGGAGGGCAGCCAGGGTGCGACCCAGATCAGACTTCAGAGGCTGCATCCTTTCAACTGCACAAACCATGTCCGATAGCACAATAAAAAAACAGAAGCCTGGGTGTCCTGCTGGACACGGCCACCTTCCAACAGAGCTCCAGTTCCAGAGTCAGGGCCCCCAGAATCACCCCTCATCACGACTAGCATGATTCATGAGGAAACACAAGTAGTAAACAAACACACAGGGAAAATGTTCACTCTCCCTAGCAATCAGAGAAATGCAAATTAGAGCTATATGGAAGAGCCATTTTCTAACTATATAATTAGCAGGGGAAAAAAGAATGTTAGCAAAATTGTTCTGAGGTAGGTACCACTCCTACGCGACTGGTGACTAGATTTACAAGACCCTTGAGGAAAGTGATCCAGCAACTTCCACCAGGAGCATAAATAAGTTCTGCCCACCGGCCTGGGGATTTACCCTAAGGAAATAATTCGGGGGCAGGGGGAGTTGTTAGCATGAAGACGCTCCCAACTCTGGCCAGAACGTTGGGAACAGCTTACTCTTTAGCAGGCTGAGGAAACTGGGTTGATCACTTCCTGCAGCTTATGCAGGCATTTAAAATGATAATTAAGAAGGCCAAGCAGCAGCACAGAAATGTGGGTGAAAGAAAGCCGAGCGCAGAGATGCTTACGCACGCTGCGGTTATTAAGATGCGGAAGTTAACTGTGAGCCCAAAGACACGGTAGGGACGGCTGGGTACGGTGGACCGCCAGGGTCACAGGCCAGAAGGACCGTGGACAGAACCTCCTGCACCTATTATTTTTAGTCACAGACCCCAACCCTTGGAGATCAGCTTCAGGGAGCGGGCACAGGGCCATCCTTTCTTGTCGGGAGGCGGGGATCAGGGAGGCCACGATGGGCTTCTCCCAACTCACCATGAAGCCAGGGGTGCAGGTGCAGCCCCCCGTGATGCTGTGACAGTCGGCGCCGTTCTGGCACGAGCAAAGCAGCTGGCAGCCATCGCCGTAGTAGCCTGCAGGGCAAGACTCGTTGCAGTGGTGGCCGGACCAGCCTGGCTGGCAAGTGCAAGCTCCAGTTACTGGGTGGCAGCTGAAGTGACGAGAGAAGGCGCGAGAACAGTCTGGTCAGGGATGCAGACGCGTCCCACCCTCTGTCCACTCTAAATCCGGTCTTCCCAGGACAGCAGAGCAAAGGGTCATTGCGGTTCAGCTGCTCGGGGTCCCATTTATCGGAAAGTGCCAAGGCCACAAGTGAGTGTGTGTCCCCAGAAAACAAGGCTCACATGGTTATCTAATTTGCTTCAAGCGACACAGCAAGGGGACAGCAAGATCAGGATTTGAACTCAGGTCTTCTGACTCCCAAATATGGATTCTTTATATAACAAATACAGAGGCCAAAACAGAGGTGGCCAATGAGTCCCTTACCTGATAGGCTGTGGGGTCCAGAGCTTCACCTACCCCCACCCAAGGCAGACACCTAGCATGGGGATAGACACGAGAAGGCAGCAGTGCCACCCAGCAAGTGACATGTGGTCTCGCCTTCCTCCCCTGCCTTGGAGAGGATCCCCAGTCTGTGCCCCACCAGGCTCTCAGGAAGCCTACTCTCCTCTATCGCCATCTGCCTGGGCCATGGGAAGGAGTTTGGCTGTAGGCAGGAACGGCCTGCCCTGACCTGGGGCAGGGGACAGCCTGGGGCTGGCAGGGGTCTGCTCCAGCCGTCGTGTCCATCCATGACCACACTGCATGTGACCGGCCACTCACAGCTCAAGAGGGAGCAAAACGGACCTGTGGCCCCCGCTGCTGTCACGTTTCTGGGGCACTTGTGGGAGATCCAGGACTCCTCTGATGTGCACCTCTGGCCCCAACACTGCGTGTCTTGCCAAACTTTCCTGGGACTGCTGAGAGCTGAGGCCCTTCTACCCACTCTCCTTTCTTCCCCCGGCCACCGGGTCTCATCCCCAGCACTGTGGTCCACCAGCTGTCCTGGCCTCCCCACTCCCGCCCCTCTGCCCCTGCTAAATCTCCCGCACTTGGGAGCTGCTTCTGGGATGGCACAGACCAGCCTGAGACTCCCCGTGTCCTCTGCCACCTGGAATCCAGCTCAGGGGATGTGTGCCCTGGTCTGGCAGGGAGCACTTGGGAAGAGTCACTTCTGTTAAGTTCTATGGGGACAGGGGCTTTGTCTCTCCGGGTCATCTAGGTCCTGGCTCACGTTCACTGCCCAGTTATGGATCTAGGAATAAATACTGCTCCCATGATGTTTAATCATTTTGTGTCTGCTGACTTGTCTGTCACTGCTCTCTCCCGCCAGCTTACGGCTCCCTGGGGGGAAGCCCTTGTCTGTCTGGGTCGCCTCTCAGGGGCCAGCAGGGGACCTGGCACATGGGAGGTGCTTCGTGCATATTTGGTAGATGAATTAATGAACAAACTAATTATGTGCAGCCTAGCCGAGCAGTTTCTCATTTGGGGGCCCCGGTTTTCTCCCAGAAAGTGAGGGGGTGGACAGAAGCAGACGATTCCAGAGTAGCAAGTGCAAGTAGCTAATAATCATTTTGGGAAACGTTTTGTCTCATTAATCATCAAGTCAAAACAACAACTGGAGAGCACTTTATCTTTATCAAAACAGAAAGAATGAAAAAAAATGCTGGTAAAGGTTTCAAACAGTTACAATCGCATGTCATTGAGGTTATGTATCAGGAGACCTGAAAATATTCAGACTCTTTGGTCTTGCAATTCTATTCCTCAGAATCTGTCCTAAGGAAATAATCATAGTTGTGGAGAAAGATTTATGCACAGAGATGTTCCCTGAAGCATTATTTATAACCCTGGAAAATGGAAGCAATTTGAATAATAATAAATAATGTGTGACCAGGCTATTAAAGTACCGGGCGCTTTACACAGATATTTCTGAACTCCAGTGAGCATGTGCACTAGGAATCTGAGCCTCAATTTTCAGATGGCACTTGGTGGTTATGTGACTTGCCCAAGGTCACATAGTTCGTGTGTGGTAGAGCTGGGATTCAAACCTGGTTTTGGCTGGTCATGTTATCTCCTGGCCCTTGCTACTGCTGAAAAGAGGGTGCTGGTTAAATTAATTATGACAGTTCAAATGGAAGAATGTTTTCTTTCTTTCATCTTACTTCTTCCTTCCTTCCTTTTTTTTTTTTTTTTTTTTTTG